GTATATATATATATATATATATATATATATATATTATATAAAGAGAGAGAAAGAAAGAGCACCATCATAATCTCATATTTATTTATGTTGATGGGGCATAAACACTTCTCTGGAATCGCGACTGATTCTTCATTGCCGGCTCGGATTCTGATTTGCCCAGCAATGGCCTCTGGCCAACAAAAACTCCGGCATACTCTCCGACAATGGCCTGCGTCTGCCTTATTTTTTTTATATATATGTATATATAGATACATGTGTGTAATTTTGAATTGTTGGGTTTGTGTGATGGTGGTGGAACAACGGAGAAGACGGTGGTTGTGGAGACTGGTGAGTGGTGATTGTGTATATTGGTTAAGGTTATTTTGGTCATTTTATGTGGTCAAAGGGTAAATATGTACTTTCATCATGTTTGGGGTGTCATTATTTAAGTTTATAACCTTGAGGGGTCTTATTGTTCAAAAATGGGCTAACTTATATATGTTTGTTAATACTACAAACCTCAGGAGGTGTTGTTGTAATTAACCCTTGAATTTAAATACATGAGACCACAAAAGATAAACTTCCTAACTACGTCTAAGTATGTGAAGGCATCTCATCCACTTCGCAGCTTCAAAATCCTGAAAAATGATAAAGAAGGGGTAACATAAGGCTCAGTAGAAGTCACCTAAGGCGTTAGTTTTGGACTCCCTTGAGCCACGCAACACATAAGATAATAGAAAAGAAGTCGGGGTCATGCTATGGGAATCCAAATAACATTTAACACATAGCAAGCAATATCCTTAGTCACAAGCACAATTTTACAATCAATGTGCATGATATGATATAAGATGCATCCCATCCCAACCTTGGTCTATACCAACCTAACATACACTTTTCAAAAATTCGCTAATCGACTTTTCAGAGGCAAGATTGATAGTTATCACCGATTCCAAATCCGACAACCGTTAAAGGGCTTAGTATTAACTTTTTCACGCCCTATACCGGGCCGCACTCCCTCTAGGTTAAGCTAGCCCCGAACTCGCGAAATTCGGTTCATTTTAAAAACAACTTTCACTTTTCAAGGAACAACCCTCCCCTTTGAAAGAAAACTTTCTTTTTCAATTCTTTTCAAAATCTCATTTTCCTTGCCATGTTATGCAATGCATTTTAATCACAATAATATTAACATAACAATTTTGATTCAATGGCATAATAGGGCATTCCATAACAACAATTAATAACTCTATGCACACTTATCATAAAATCACTCATATAGCAATATTTGTATTATTACTTCCAAATTACCAAAACTCATATGTGACGGCCCTGGTTTTACAAACCAGATGCGTTAATGGTGACCCAAAAGTTGACCATAAAACAGATCCGAAATGCGGAAACGAAATTAAAAAAAAACACGGCCTCTAGAGATGTACATCATCCCTGAGATACATAAGTGACTTCCTGAGGAGTCCTGAGACTCAACGGAAGCAAAGCAGAGACAAGAGTTTCAAAACCCTTCAAGAAGTGGATCAAGGATAAAATAGTCATTTTACCTAAAAATGGGTGCTACCGTGCACACCATTGGAAATACAATGAAAAATTAATAAAGTTAGACTCAAGATCACCTGATTCGGAGTCCGGATGAAGAATATATGCAACCTCAAAATTTTGAAAGAAAATTGAAACTGAATGCTCCCAAACGATCCATCGCAACTCGGCGATCGATTGCCAAAAGGTCCGCGATGAATTGTAGGACCCACGAAGGATACAAACAGTGGCCTTGCAATAGATTGAGAGATTCGGCAATTGATCGCCGAATCTGCGATCCATCAAAAACTAGTAGACTGCACCAGAATTTCCAAATTTACGAGTGTTTTTCGATGCCAAAATGAACTTTTTTGAAAATAAGTTGTGAAAAAACCCCCTTAAAATATGGTTTTCTACACGACCATGTCAAAGCCAAATCTTATTTTCAAAAGGAAATGCGCAAAATGCCCTTATGCACAAACTTTGAAAAATAGTTTAAATACCTGAAAGGTAAATCATGCTTTGCATACATAAAAGTTTTTGGCCCTTGACCTCATTACATACATATCAAATAAGTCTCAAATAGTGTATTTAAGTACACTTTATATGTCCCAAATGAAAATAATAAGTTTTAACATGTCAAACCAAAAGAAGTAAAACATGCTAACACGCGTATGTATACAAAATACATAAAAAATACTCCAAGAAACCAAACTAATCTAGGGATGTTGTGTATCCCAAAACAAGGTCTCCTTACCTGAAAAATATTCCAAACAACTACGGTGAGTAACCAAAGTTATTCGTAGGAAGAAGCATATGCGTATACTCTAAAGTTTCAATAAACCCTTGCAACGTAATATAAACCAATACATGTGGTGCATACCACCTAACATATATGTTTAAAGTGGTATTAAGGGATCATCTCAAGCTACACAAGTAATTGAAATGAAATACACAATATACAAGTATACATGCACAAGCATACTAAACAATATTGAAATGAAATACGTAATATATAAGTATACATGCATAAACATATTAAACAATATTGAAATGAAATACACAATATTCAAGTATACAAGCACAAGTATACTAAACAATATTGAAATGAAATACACAATATATAAGTATACAAGCACAAATATATTAAATGAAATTGAAACCTCAAGCATCAAATCACAAGCTACAAGTAATCAATGATTAACAACTTGGAATTGAATGCGAAATCATACCAAGTGGAAAACTTAGAGGCAGCGTCCGGTGTGAGCTCACAACACAAGACAAGGTTGGAGACTCACAACACAAGACAATACAAGTTGTTTTAGGGAATTAACCCTCAAAGAACTACCTAAGTGCGCACTATATTGTAGGGAGAACTCATATCCCCCGTACTAGGGCCATACCCTAGTCATGTCACATTTCATTGCCCCAAGTATTTCTAAAATCAATCAAGTTATCACAACAACTATAAGTGTACAATACAAGTAAACTTCCATGCACAACCAACAATGGTAGTCACACAGTCATGTTCTAAGTTTCCAAGCTGCAATGGCATGTTAGTGTCAAGTATACAAAGTAATATTCACTACACTAATCACAAGGTTGTTAGACAAGAAAATCCATTCACAGCATAGCAAGCCTAAAACCTATACTTAGACAACAATATAGCATAGGTTTCTCAACAAAATTAAGGCAAGAATTAGATTAGAATTTCATAAGCATATCACAAGAAATCTCTAGATTTCATTCTTACACAAATGTAACTACGACATTATCAATATATGAGATCAATTCAAGCTAGCAAGAAATGAGTTCCAATTCTATGAATTTAACAACTACATTGTCTTAATTATGCAATTAAATTATTAACAATAATTTAATAAAATCACCAAAGTTACATTAACAAAATCATATGATTTCAAGTCATTACTAAGTGAAACAAGGTAAATACAATTACTAGGTAATCAACATAGAGATTTTAGTAATGCTCACATGGTACTCATTAAATCCCTAAATTAACAATGACATAATTGTATGTCACAATACAATTAGAAACAATAATTATACAAGAATATCATAGTCATAACTACAAGACTACACAAGAAATTTCAATTTCTACTATGTAGAACAACAATAATACAAATGAATAATCACATATAAGTCTTGTGTAAAATGACACCCTATGTTAGATACAATCAAAATATATCTAATACAATCCTAGAATATCAATTTACATGCATACAACAAAGGAAATAAGAAACCATAATAAGAGTATAAACATAGTACAACCCCTACCTCACTAGAGGATTATTACTCTAGAATCCAAGGCAAACAAACTCAAAATGCAAAATTGAGATACGGTGTTGTAGATCAAGAAGAGAGGAAGATATGACTTTCAAAGTGGAAGACTAAATTCCTAAGGCAAGAGGTTCGAATTTCAGAAATGGAAAATAGGGTTTTAGAATTCCTCAAATTGCCATCACTAAAATGAATTTGATCTTTGGCAATAAAAGAGTTTGTCGCTAAAAGTCCATAGTTTGTTGCGAAAAGATTATCGCGACGCGACAAAAAAAAATTTGTCGCCAGGTCGTCACTAGAAGCCAGTCACAATATGTTTTTCGTGACAAATTTTAATTTGTCGCTAGAGGTATGATATATTGTGACAAATTACTTTTCATCACAAAATGAGTAAAAATTGCGACAAAACATTTGTCGTAAAATATTAAAAAATTGTCGCCTTATACCCTCCAAGACTTATAAAATTTGCCGCTATTCATCACTGTTTTGTGATGAAAATAATTTTTGTCACTATTTGTGTACTCTTTTGTGACAAAAATTATTGCTATAAGCTGCTTTATTGTGACAAAATGTTTGGTCGCAATGAAAGTACGATATTACGACAAAAATATTGTCGCTATAAGCTACTTTATTGTGACAAAATATTTGATCGTAATAAATATATCATGTTGTGACAAAAAATATTTTCGTTATAAGCTGTTTTATTGTAAAAAAATGTTTTGTCACAATATACATATCATGTTACAACAAAAATATTGTCCCTATAAGCTATTTTATTGTGACAAAACCTTTTGTCATAATAAATGTTCTATATTGTGACAAAATTATTGTCACTATAAGCTATTTTATTGTGACAAAGTATTTTGTCACAATAAATGTACCAAATTGCGACGAAAGTATTATTATTATAAGCTGTTTTATTGTGACAATTTACCATTTTACAACAAAATTATTATCACTATAAGCTATTTTCTTATGACAAAATAACATGTCCTGGACAAATACAATAATAAAATTTTATTTTCACCTATTTGAAACATAAAATTTAGAACCTATAACTTAAATTAAAATATTAATAAACTAAACAATCTAAGCTAAGATCTAAGCATCTCACTCAAAATCAATACATTTGATAATTAATCATAGAATATAAAACACATTCCATTAAGAATTTAGATCTTAAAATGTGCAAATCATTCAAAATCTAAAATGATAATTCCAACACATATCAAAATATTAATATCCAAATCCAATATTACACAACTAATCACGTTCACATATCAAAATTTCAAAAAAAATCTAAGATCCAAATCCAAAAAGGGAGCCAGATTGCAATCAATTTGAAACCTGCAAAATAAAATAAAATAAATAAGAAGAAAAAAAAAATTGAGATTAGAATTTCAAGACTGAAATAAATTTTTTAAAGAGTATTTTAAAAACCTTGATATTTGGGTGAGAACAAGATATTCCTTTGGAATTAAGTGACTTGGCTTTTCTTATTATATCAAGCAATTTACACACACACACACACACAAAACTTAGTATAATGTATTCAATTTGATAACATATAGACAAATGAAGAGTTGAACAATGAGGCTGTATAGTGTGTATAAGAAATGTTGGCTACCAAATTTATTGCTAATGCATATTCTGTGCAAAATTAACTGCTATGCAAGTCAATAATGCAGGAATAGAGTTATTATAATCTACGTTGGAGTTATTATGAAGCATTTAGAATCTTTATAGAAGAAGAGGAAATAATAAGTATTGCAGCTTCCTATTGTCGAAAATTATCATATATCTATCCTATATATTGGCAATAAAATCTTGTGTTAAAAAAAAAGAAGTAAATTCAAAGTTATTTTTAGTAAACTTTTGTTACATTAATCGATGTAGCATAAGAGGATTCAAGTTTGAGGCAATAAATTCATGAATATATATCAATCGAAGAAATCCAGAATGTTGCAGATGCAAATTACTGATTCACTCATGGACTCTTTGGCATAGAAGTCGGTTTGTGTGGTCTAGAGTTTGAGGAATGGTGGTGAGAGAACAGAGCAAAGAAGAAACGGATACCAATTTTCTAGAATTATGCAACAAATGCATTGTTGTCTAATTAATTGAACATTGATATATGGCAATTCAATATTTCCTTAATACAAGCTATTAACTTATAATCAATTAATATACAAGCGATCTTATATGGCTATCACGTGTCATGAGCAAAGAGAAAATAATCCACAAAGTTAGGAGCTACTTAGCAGATCAAAACCCAAATCAGTTCCAGTTAATTAGCTTAAGCATTGCATGATAAGAAAAAAATTTCTTTGAGGTAAGACAAGAAAAAAAGGATATCATAGATAAACCTCAACTCACCACTGATTAAACAACACAGTCTATACTTAAACAACCAACACGTGAGATTAATGTACGGTATGAAACTTAATGAATGATCAAGGTCCCACATTTTAATTACATGGCATCATATGGGTTTATTATATATACTAAAATTTTAATGGCAACTATACCTACTTTCATGCTTGTCTCATTATTTTTCCCTCAAATACATCGAATACCAGCTCATTAATTGTGTACACACCCCATTTTGCACCATTTTTTAAAAATATTTTTAAATATTCTTGTTTGTTTTTTAAAAAAATACTTAATAGAATCTAAAAATTGACACATTTTCAAGTTTTTCAAAGTATTTTCTCAATGCTACCCAGAAATGGCAGAGAATAGAGCAGAACTACACATTACCCAACCATCTTAATTAATTTTCACGTACTCCTTCACAAAGTGGTGCTACTGCAACTGTCTAAAGAATGTGTTGATTCCACACATCCATCTCAATATTTTCATTTCAACCATTTTTTTTTTCTTTACGAATATGTTTTTTCTTAGCCACTCAATATTTTCATCACATCTAACTGTCATACTTAACAATTAGAGAAAAATGGCAATTTAGAAGAGATATACATATATAGTAGATATAGTTGATAAGGTTCTCTTAAACTAAAACTAACACCATGTTTTTTCTTTTTTTTTTTTCTTTTTCTCATATTCTCCTTCCAAGGCCCACACGGTGTTAATGAAAAGATTGGGTTCACTGATATAAGTCTTCTTAGTCTCTCTTCTGCATTTCTTCTTTTTAATTTTCCTAGAATTGATAGCCTAAATTTATATTTGATATCACCTTCCAAATTTACATTCTATTTGAATTTCAGACTTAAAATGACTTATATTTTTCAGACTATAATTTTCCTAGAATTAATATTCTTATATATTTTTTCCCTATTTGTTCTTGTTTTATTTGGAAAATTCTGAATGAAAAAGTAGGGTATGATATTACAAAGTCAGAAGCAATTATTGTCGAGCCAATCACCCTTGTATGTTAAAGATTTAATAGGGAGACAATTTTTATAATTCTTTTTGTTATTCAATATTCTTTGTGTGCTATTATCAACCATGTATGTTAAGATTTAAGAGGCCCTGTCTTGTCTTAAATTTTGAACCAATAGTTCAGGTATGCTACGCCACATTTAGCCTATCCAAACAATTTGCTCCTTTGATAGGTTAAAAATCTTGAACTTTTACCGAAACCCATTTAAAATTTATCTTTCAATTTCATCCATTACATTTAATTCAATTATCAAAATATTTCTTATACCCATGACCAAGTTCAAATTTTAGTTAAGCAATGGAACCTAAAATATGATTTTTTATATTATCCTTGAAAATTTTAACAATTATACATTTCAGAAATAAAGACTCAAAAGCCAAAAACCTTATGGCTCATGATTTGAATCTTCCACCTAGTTACACAAAATCATAAAAAAATATGCTTTATGCTTTTTTGATTCAAACCACTGGTCCATAAAAGGTCCCTAAAAAACTACTACATATACACATCTCTTCAAAATGTACAAAAGATATTCAAAATAGTATAGATAATATGATGCCTATGCTTGCAATAACAAGAGGAACATGCAAAGGAAAAGGGGTAGAAAATGACTACAAAGGCATCTATCTACAAAACTAACCTTGAGAAAATATTGATTCATCCCACTTCTTGTTTGTTGTGTCCACTGCACGTACACTGCAAATCAAAGCAAAAAGATGTGCAAATATATATACACAATGTCACAAACAACTAAGGGGAAGAAAGCATAGCACATTGAATGATTGAGCCCAACACCAGGGAAATAGTTTCCAATAGCTAATCTTATCTTGTGACTATCTGAATCATATAAATATTAGTTACTAAAATGGCCTCTTCAAGATATCAAGAACAGTTAAAGAAAATTAAATATAGAGATGAGTTTCAATTGCTAGAAAACTATTTCTTTTTAAAGGGATATATGTATGAATAGGACCCTAATATTTAACTTGTTTTTCTTCTTGTTGAATATATAGAGAACTCATGGAAGTACTTTGCCATGTAGTGTAAAGTTTGGAAAGATAGAGATTTATAAATTTAACATTTATGGGTTACAGAGACTCAAAAATTTTAGATTAGATGTACACAGTGGAATTTGTCAAAGAATTCGCCCATCTTGAGATCATTGTGTTAGCACTGTTTCTGAAGGTGGTACTAATGAATTGTTTAATTTGAGCTTGTTTGAACTCGGTCTGAAGCTCATCAAATAGCATGGGGGAGCACTAAACGTGGACCATGATCCAAAAGTGATGAATTGGCATTTAAGCTTATGGGTTAGGATTTGTGGTACCTAAAGATTGTTTCAGCTGATTTGTACTAAAATTTTGAAAGGATAATGAACATTTAGAGGGCATTGAATTATTTGACAGAAGTGGAATTATCAGAAAATGAAAGGATTAAAAGATTTGAGAAATTTTAGTGGGTTACTTGAAGTAGAATGATTTGTAAACTAAGAGAGCTCTGAGTGATTTGGCCTAACTGAACAGACAGTTTATCAGTCTTGCGGTAGTTGTTGTTCTCTCTCTCTCTCTCTTTCCAATAATGCTACTACTGAACATTTTACATCCACAAGTAGAAGTGAAGGCAGCACGATCTTGTCTTACATTTCTCTTGGACCACAGCTACCTCGATCATAGACCAATTAAGCCTAATATTCCTCCTTTGAGACCAAATTTCCATTGCACAATAAAGACAATAAACAATAATAAAACTTAATGAAAAATTAAATAATTACACAAATTTCCATCTAAATAATTTCTCAAACACCATGCATACCCACAAACTTGTTACATTGTTATTGGGCTTAAGTTTCTATAAATGGTGGTCATATGATATAATTGTTTTATTTGAACTTATAACTGTAAGGATGTTAACATCAAACTTTAAACAACTCAAGTTCTACAGTTCACATATTAATGCTCAGAAATGTTGGGCAAGTTTTATATCCCGCGCATTTTACTAGTGTTCATGAGTGGTTTTTGCAGACTCTGTACTTTATACAATGGTGATAATTCTATAATAATTGTTCAATATCCTATATTTAAAAATGCAGTGGCATTGCCCTATCCCTCCAAACACAAATTTCACATACAAGTTCCAGACCAAAGATCAGATTGGAAGCTACACATACTTCCCATCGATTCTAATGCATAAAGCTACTGGACGGTTTGGGGGAATAAATGTCTATGCAAGACCTCAAATCCCAGTTCCATATACTTTACCTACTGCAGATTTTACTTAACTTATTGGGGATTGGTACAAGACCAGCCATAAGATGAGGATAATACATATAAATTATGTTTACACGTTTCTGATATATTGATTCTCAAAAATGTATACTCAATCTATGCTTATTTAAAAGAATACATCGAAAAATTGACCCAATATAAAGAAAAAATAAAAATAAAATTGATTAAACATAAAATACCTGATTAATTTGTTGCGCTCAATCAAGCTTGAATAGAGCTCAATGAAACTTTATTGGTCGGTTTCTTGCATCCTCAATGGCTTCCAACATAATTCCACTCTAGGGCTTCAATTCAACTGATATATTTTGAGAGCGAGAATCAATCAGATTGAAAAATAAACTGGGTTCAACTTTTTTGCGAAAAAAATTGTTCAGATTAGGGCTTCAAAAATAATGTAGAGATTGGAAGCGACAAGACAGAGATGGAGATGGAGTTGGGGAAGGGTCAAGCGAGAGAAAGAAGGGATTGGATCTGAGAGGGAAGGAGAATCTAAATCTGATTCAGACTAGGGCTTTATGCGAGTGAACTCGGAGAGATAGGAATAAGCTCTAGTGTGAAAATTGAAATGAAAATAGAGTACGGGTTATTTTTGGCCAGACGCATATATATAATAGAAATAAATTTTGAGAGAGTGATTGGGTGGTCTCGGTGTGTGTGTGTGTGAGAGAGACAGAGAGAGAGAGAGAGAAAACATAGAGTGATACGTGTCTGTACTTGGCGGGTTCATTTGGGGGGGCCAAAAAATTTGACTAGCTTCAAATTCATTTTTATGGCTAAATAAATTTTTGAATAAAATAAATTTGTATATTTATATTATTTATAATTGTAGACTAACAATAAAGTAGTACTATATTTTAAGGGAGATTGATATTCATAGCTATTTTTCTCTAATTGCACTATATTTTTTTTTTTCTTTAAAAAAAAATGACAAGAAAATGATTGAATTCATTAATGCACTATCCTTGAATTTATAATGTCATAACTATTCCTTTTTTTTTTGATACAATTGAAAGCAATATTTATTCAATAAAGTAAGCTTATTTTCAATCAAAAAAGGTAACTTTTTTTTTTTGATAATTTTTTATGGGTCTTGTCAAAAGAAATAATTTATTAGATAAAAATAACTTCTTTTTTGGGGGGGGGGGTCATATCAAAAGAGATAATTTATTCAATATAGATAAAAAAAAAATTAATTCTTTTTTTTTTTTTTTCTTTTGGGGATCTTGACAAAAAAGATAATTTCTTCAATAAATATTTTTTTTCAAGTTTTTTTTATGTCAAAATAGATAATTTTTTTAATGGTTATTTATTTATTTTTTTTGCCGAGTCAAAAAAGTCAATTTATTCAACATAAATTTTTATTTCTTGGTCCTGTAAAAAAAAAAAAAAAATTATTCAATTAATTTTTTTATCTAAAATTAAAGACCTAAAATTTATTCAATTTATTATTTTAGGTCAAAAAAAAGACCTAAAATAATAAAGATTAGAGATAAGAAGAGAAAATCGTTTTGTCATTTAAAAAGTAATAATTATTTACTTGTAAAGTTATGGTTAGAATTACCATTTCATTTAATAATTATAGTGCAAACGTTGAAAAGTGGAGTATAGATATTGCCTCCCTATTTTAAACTATAAATCTTTAGACAAGAGTCTATTTACTAATAAAATTAACTAAATATATTTTTTTAATTTAATAAAATTGTTATTAATATATTAATTATAATGAAAACAACAAATCAGGGGTGGAGTAGCCAAAAAAATAAAATTGGGGGAGGCGGGGGGCCAAATTAGTAATTATAAAATCAAATTTTAAAATAAAATAAAATAATTGTAATTTTTATATTGTTAAGAGTATGCATATAAATGATACGGAAGAAAAATGAAACGAAAACAGTTGAGTTTGTCAAGTGTCAAGCACTTTTTTCTTCTCCCTAATTCATAACAAATAATATATGTTTATGTGCGTGTATATATATATGTATAAAGTATGCTGTAGTAAAAGGTTTATTTAACTTTGAAGAGTAATAATTAATTTTATTTGCAGCCATAAGGTAACCATAAATAGAATTTTTCTTTTTTTAATTTTATTTGTTAAAAAATTAAGGGAGGGGGCCATTGCCGGATAACCCCCTTCCCTCCACCCCTACAACAAATTATGTCTCAATTTCTAATTATATCTTCACAAATTTTTTTAATTTTTTTGCAAATATTTAATTCATAATAATATTTTAACATATAAATTACTTGTTATAACTTGAATTTGTATATCTATATTATAACCATAGAAAAATAAATAAATTATTTTTAATTCTAAATCTAACATTTTAAAAAATTCACCTTATTAAGAAATTCCTAATAAAAATTGTCCTCCAATTCACAATTCATTTAACTCACCATTTGTCCAAAATAACATAAATTTACCAAGATTTGGTTCTATGTATTCCATTGCCAAGATATGGCTTTATTTTGGATTATGTGAATGTGGTCGGTTGATGAATGTCTACCAATTATAATCAACCCTTGCAATAGCACAAATCATTGTAAAATAAGGCTATCATAGGGGTAAGTCGAACCACAAGGATTGCAAGTTTATGGCAACCAAGGTCTTTAAAATCACTTGGTTTAATGAAAGAGGTGTAGAGTTTTGTTTGGTTTGTCATTTGGTACTTTGAAATAAAAATATACATAAAACAATAAATTGAAGGAGATTAAAAAGGAGAGGAAAAATATGTAGAGAGAACTAGGGAAGTGAATCAACTATCGACCCTATAAATATGCTAGCTTGTAATTAATATGGGGAACAACATATATATATGTCCATGATATGTAACAATACAAAATTGCTACATTATCTTTAAGAATTTCATGAAATCAATAGGCAAGAATAATCTATCAAAGTTTTACATGCTTGAACTACCTAAACTAGGGTGTAGCCTTAGACATGCTCGCTAAGCTAGAGATTATCAAACCCTCAATCAAATGATAAAAGCACGTGAAGTTAAAAACCAAGAATAGTCCATCAACAGAAGGCCCTAAGTTATGGACTACCAAACTTCTTAAACAACATGCCATTAAAATCATTTCACAATCTCATTTTCATTGTCACTATAAAAATGCAAGCCATATGATCATAAGAGAAAACAATCTAAGACAAGATAATAAACTCAAAATGATCATTTAAAAACATTAATATCCATTATAACATATGTATAGCTCTAGATTGTGAAACTTGGCCCATACATATTTCATTCCCCAAAATAAACCAAAATTAAGGCATGCTTACAAGGAAAGGCTTCATCACCTCCCTAGAAAGGGAGTTAGTTACCCATAGAAACAAAGGAGGAATGAGAAGAAGTGATCTTACCCTCCATTTTTGCACATAGGAGCCACAAAACACACACAACCCTCAAGAACACAATATTTCTCTCACTAGAAAATATACTTACAATATGAGATATGTTTATTTCATTGTATCAAGCCTCTAATAAGCGACCACAACCTTCCAACAACTCTATTTTCGTGGCCTAAAATCCTTAGAGAAGTGCAGAGCAATCCCTTGAATCAAGGGGATAGCATTAGGTGAAATAAAGCAGCCCACGCCCTTTTGTCTGCAGATTGGCGGGCGCTCGCAACACAGGGCGAGCGTCTGCGGGGTGTCAAAGTGGCTTGGGCGCGGTACTAGGTGGGGGCCCGTAGTGCATGGTAGGGCCCCGTAGTGCATGGTAGGGCCCCGCAATTTTGCAATCTTTCTGGACCGTTTGGCTGGCTCCCGCAGGTGTATGGCGAGTGCCCGCAAGGCTGTAAAGCACCACCTTGCTACTTGAAATGATTTGGCTCGGCCCGACGACGCGATCATCCTCCTTAGCGCTTTTTGCAAGGGTAACCATGAGTTCAATGGATCACTGGTTTGGCCAAAATGAAAGTCACCGACAACGGTATGCTTTGATTCTTCAAGAATTCATCAAAGCCTCTCTTTTAACTATCTTTAGGGAACTGATAAGCGCCGAATATTGCATATTCAAGCGCCCTTTCTTGCACTAGTTAAGTCTATGAATGGAGTATAATGTACAGTTTAACTCCATTTGTGTATGTATTTCTGATTTTTGGTATTTTGCCCGAGAATGATCAATGAAGCGATTTTGACATCATTTGTGTTGAAATACGTGTGCCATGTCGGGAAGTCGTCTTCGGGACCTAACCTCTTCTGTTGCCGTTTTTGTGAAGTCATGGCTTAGTGTTCATAGTGCTTTCGAGTTGAAAGCATGTTCACAACCTAGCTTGATGACACTTGCAAGAAGCAAGTGTAAAAGGTGCAGCTGCAAGTTCTCGCGGGCGCCCGCCGAACCCCCATCCTCTCTGCCTCATTTGGTGGGGCCTCACAAGGCCCCCGCGAAGGCCCTCACAAGCCACCGCGGGCACCCGCCAAAATGGGCAGTACCTCCCCCGCGAAGCCAAGGACCCGCGGGCGCCCCGCGGGCCCCCGCTGATCTGCAGACAGCTCTACATTCCTGCTCCTAATGCTATCCCCTTGACTTATTTTTGTGGCTCTAATCCTCCTAGGGTTGGTAGGGCATGAAAATGGGGGGGAATGGAGAGGCCAAAGGATAAAAGAAGGGCTTGAGGCTTCAAGGAGGGGATCTCATAATTTTGTAAAGTTGGTAGAGAGATAAATATTGAGAGCTTGTAGGGTGCATGTGCTTGAAGCTCTTGAGCACGAAAATGGAGGGTGAGGGTGTTTCTTCTCCTTCATTCCTTGCATCCATGGATAGTTAAACCCTCATCTAGGGAGGTGATGAAGCCCTCCCTTGTAAGCATGTTCTAGCTTGGTTCTATTTTGGGACATCAATGTATATTTTTGGTCTTTTCATGATCTAGAGCCCTATGTTTGTTGTAATGGATTTTAAATGTTCATAAATGATTATTTTGAGCTATTCATCTTGTCTTAGATGGTTACTTTTCTTAATCATATTGTTTGCACTTTCATAGTGACAATGGAAGTTAGATCATGGAATGGTTCAATGGCATGGAGTTGGAGAACCTCGATAGCCCATTGCTTAGGGTTTCCCTTTGATGGTCTATACTTGATTCTTAGCTGTATGTGCTTTCATCATTTAATTTTGGGCTTGATAATCCTTGACTTAGTAAGCATGTTCTAGGCTACATTTTAGTTTAGGTAGTTGATCATGTGAATCTTTGATGGTTTATTCTTGCCTTTTTATTTAATGAACTTCTTGAGGATATTATAGCAACCAAGAGTTACTATGTATCATGACCATTATATATGTTGTTGTCCCCCAAATGAGTTCTTAGTTAGCATGTGTATAGGGATGGAGCCGGATTCGCTTCCCTAGTCCTCTCTACTTGTATTTCATCTTTGCAATTTCATTCAAATTATTGTTTTATGCACATTTCAATTCCTAGCCTTAAGTGACAATCCAACAAATCCTTATTACCCCTCTATCATTCTAAAAATGATCCTAGATACCTAAGTTACCATAAACTAGCAGTCCTAGTGGTTCGACTTACCCGACCAATAGCCCTATTTTACAGTGATTTGTGTTATTGCAAAACGGGTTGATTTATAA